GCAAAGCATTGAACAGCTACTTCTTATCAGTTTTCACAGAAGAAATTCGCGAGGAAATTCCAGAGATGGAACTGATATTTAGGGGAAAGGAAGAAGAGAAATTAAAGAATATCACTATCAGAAAAGAGGATAAATAAACAAAAGAAGACAAAATCCCCAGGGCCGGACGAAATTTTCCCTCGAGTCTTGAAAGAGTGTAGGGGAACCCAGTTCACCAGCCACGAGTTCCGGGACTTCACGGACCGTTGGGGAGTCCGTCATGTCGTGACCTCGCCCCACTACCCCCAGGCGAATGGACACGCTGAAGCCGCAGTCAAGACTGTTAAACACCTGATCCTTAAGGTGTCACCCTCAGGAAATGTCGACTGCGAGGATTTCGATCGAGGTTTGTTAGAATTACGCAACACCCCGAACTTCACCGGACGCTCCCCAGCCCAGGTTCTATATGGACATCATCTCAGGTCTTGTGTTCCTGTCCACCCGAAGTCTTTTTCTCAAGAATGGCAAGCCAAGACTGAAGAATGTGACCGCCGTGCAGCAGAACGAGCCGCAGATGTCGCTGCTCGGTACTACTGTCATGCCCGCCCCCTTCCCAGGTTGAGTATCGGCCAGCAGGTCAGGATTCAAGATCCGGTATCTCACTGCTGGGACAAGGTTGGGGTTGTCATGGGTATTGGCCGGTCCAGGGACTACCAAGTGCGTCTTCCTAGTGGTAGAGTATGGTGGAGGAACCGTTGTTTCCTCCGACCTGTGGAGCTGCCTAGTGTTGACCCTTCCCCAGTAGAGTCCCCTAATGTTGATGTCTTTACAGTAAATCCATCTCCACCTTGTGTTTCTGCCCCGGTACGCCGCAGGTCCGAGCGACTCAGAAACAAAAGGTCCGCTCAAGATGAAACTATGAGCGTATAGAGGGGAGGGAGGTGTATAATATGGAGACGAAGTAGTACATTAAGCTGTGTATTCTTAAATTACTCTATTAATTATGTATAGTAAAGTATTACAGACCATGTATTAATAGGGTGTGTCATACGGAGGCGAATTTTTTTTTTTTGAGTTTGAAAAATCGGCCCATGGTATTAATGATGTAGTTCTATGTGCAGAATCATGTGATATCTTCAGATTTGAAAAGTTTTCATTTTTTGCTAGGTAAATTTTCACTTGAAATCTTATGAAAATTCAGTATTCCCACCCTTTTACCAACACCACTAAATAGCTTATTTAAAGTAAAGTAAATGTATCAGGTTAATTTATTAGGATGAAAATGATCCAGAGTAGTGAAACGAATGATCTTGACACATTTATTAAATTAAATATTCCTTTAGAAAACAAAATCATCAAATACAAAAACCGGTTTTACTACTACGACCCGGTGTTGCTGCACACCATAGAGAACATACCTTTCTTGCTTCTGTTTCTACTCATCACCTCCCTGCTGACCACCTGAGCTCGGATGTAGCCTTCCCTCCTCTTCTGGCTGTACACGTGACTGCTGGCCTCGCTCACTTGCTGTACACAACGCTCTATACTCTGGGTGTGCGAGGGCCAGGCAGGGACATGCATGGGGTTGTCCAGGAAAGCTCTGACTTGAACATTGGTGAGGCTGCAGGTAAGAGGGGGCTCACTGCCAGCCTGGATGTTATCCAGATCTATGAGATCAGTGAGGGTTTTGGCACCTAGATTGACTTCAGGAGTCTTCCTGACCGTGAAGGAATCGTCACCAACTGATTCGTCATGCCCAGATCCTCTCATAAGTCTCATATCCAAGATCTTTTTGACTGCCACTCTTCTCTCCTCCTCATCCTTACTGCAGAGCATTGTCTGCAGAACTGCCTCGGGATGAGCATACCAGGAAGATCTCCTCACAGTCTGCTCCACAATCTGAACAACCTTCCTTGGCTGACTCCTCAGGAGCCTGCTGGAAGAGAACATGCCTCGGACCTTCGGAGAACGATGACTTGACCTTGGTGTTGAACCAATTTGGCAAGTAGACACTCAGGATGAATTGGACAATAAGTCTCAGGTTGTGAAGCTGGTTCCCTTTCAGTTTATGATGAGCGACCCAAATTCTGCAGAACCTGAGAGCCGTTGTGAGCCACCTAGAATATGAGACTGGACCTATCTGCAGGTAAGCAAGTCTATCAGGCATGACCCCAGTTTTGATGGCACTGCAAATCATGTAACCATAGTACTGGTCAGTACTTAGGTCGTCAATGACAGTATGTGCAAGCTCAACGAGTGGAGGGCCAACTGTGATTTTTTCAAAGCTCGGATTTATTTCTAACTCAGTGGCATAGTCCAGCATCTTGCCAAGAGGACCAGACCATCTGTTGTTTGAAAGAGTCTTGCCATCCAGCTCCTGGATCAGATGTCTGAGTGGCAACTCGTTGGTGTGGAGGTCACAAACAATCCAGACCAGCTTCCTCCCAATCTTCCGCTCTATCCACTGTATGACCCCCCTTGCCACCCTGTGTTCGTGTTGGTGCTGTCCCCTCCAATGGCCTGCAGGGTCTGGTCTACGTTCCTCTCTCTGAGCCAGTTCACAATGTTATCTGCCACTATCTCAGCTGGTTTCCTGATGTCATCTTTCTCTGGAGTGAAATGCCACAAATACTTCCCTCCTGGTTCACTGCAGCAGGAGTAGTGTTCCTCCTTCACCATGGCAGGGAACAACTTGTCAGAATCTCCAACTTTCATGAACACTTTAGTGTCATCCCTTCTCCCATCAAAGAACAAACAATTGATTCCATTTTCTCTTATCCCCTTATCAAACTCCTCTTCTAGGTTACTGACAAGTTTCTCCTGAGCTCTCCTTACTTTGTTATGATCTATCACCAGGTGAACATCATCAGGTGTTATCAAACCACCGTCAACCCAGGCAGCTGTTGCTATCTCTGCAGTTTCTCTGAGACCAGTGTGGTGTCGCATGCTGGCCAGAGCTATGCTCGGGATATCTTTCCTATTTCGAATCTTATGCCTGGAAGGTTTGGGATCATTATTTTCTGGGTTAGGGACAAAGTCACCATTCTCCTGGTCAGCACTCGGATCAGCCATGGGGAAGTCATTAAACTCTGAATCAGCTTGACTCCAATCATCGGCCTTTTTTACCTCACCCTGGGCCTTCTCAAGTCTCTTTTCCTCGGCAACTCTTCTCCTCTTCTGTCTCTCTGTGGCAGCCTCCTGTCTCTTGGACTCCGGAATATCTTGGCTAGAAATCATGAGAGCCCCTATACTGCCAGTATTCTCTCTCTGTGCTTTGACAAATGCCAGTTCGATCACAGGAATCTTCAGTTCACGCTTGCAAATACAGGAGATGTGGGCCTCGGATTTACAGTCACGCTCGCATCCAAATTCAGGACAGAGAACAATTGGGCACTTGCAAGTAATTATGGCAAATAACTGGTCCAGTTGCTTGGCAAAGCTGTCCTTAACTGCAAGTTTTCCTCTCCCAAGAGAGATATCTCTTGCCTTTTCCCAACTGGCTAGCAGTCTCTCACTAATCTTCTTCTGACTTGTTATGACTGGAGGCTTGAACTGAGCGTTAGCCAGAGTGTACTGTGCCAAGACAGCTTTGGTCATATCACTGGCAATGTCTTTGTTTGTGTAAGTTCTTTGGTTCTTTTCACTGATTTGCCTGATTAAAACACCGTATCTCAAAGCATCTCTCAATGTAGGCAACTCCGACTTCAGGAGCTCTCTCCCAGTCCCAAGATAGTGACTGAGATGGCTGGATTTTTGGTTCCTCGTCCTGACACAAGCAGCCATCGCAAATATTATCAACTTATAAATGCATCAGAATCTGAAACAGAAAATATTGTTAGTTGGGTTGTTAAAGAATGAAGTCAGAAAGCAATGTTCACTATTTAATTGTAATGCACTAATGCAGCTGTACGTTAGATTTTCGATAAATTTCACGCTAAAATTTACCTAGCAAAAGGTTGCAAAATATTGAAACTGAAATTATTTTGTGTTTATATACACTAAAATCTACCAAAAAAGTGATGGGCCATTAGTTTTAGCTGATCTTCCCTCCTATGACACACCCTAATGTATTAATTCTATGTAATGCTTCCATTTATTATGCACCATGTTATGTATATGTATTATCATATTTACATATTATGTATTCAGCTTGTGAACGCTGGCATCTGTGCATGCCAGCGCGGAGTGATACATGGAGTTGAGATCGCTCGTCCTTATGGCGTGGAAGCCACTGTTTATTTGTTCCTCTGTATTTGTCTCCCGTACGAGAATAAGAACCTATTTTCAAGATAAGACATAGAGACACAAAGGGCTTTGCTGAACCTACGCTCAGTGAAATGATTGGTACACACTTGCAAAGGGGCAAAGAACATTTCCAGGCATTCTTGCAGTGACTGGAAATGAATGAGAACATTTTTTTTACCAGCCAATCAACAGAAACAAGGTAAACTTATTCAAACATGAACAAGTTGCTGACAGTTGAAAGGAGAAGTTGCTGAAGGATGATTGTCATTTATTTTCACTGTTGTTCATTTCTTGCCAGACCAGACAGTGTGATTTGTAAGAATTCTTCAGACATGAGAATCAACTCCGCCCTTGTATCAGCGAGTGACAACAGTCATCTCTATACCTATGGCTCAGCTATGATTAATGCCTTTCCTCCTTGGGTCATCAAAGACTTTCATTGAATATGCCAGTAAAGATGTTCTTCCAAAATTGGAATCTTACAGTACCAAATATAGTAGGGTGGATGTTGTATATGCTGTCTATAAAAGAACAGTTTAAAGGCGGAAACCAGGTCAGAACGAGGTCAGAGTGTCAGTCGAAGGATGCCAGAAACTAACAAAGCTCCAACAAATTGGAGAAGCTTTCTAAGAGATGATAATAACAAGAATCAACTTTTTCACTTCCTTGCGGATAAGATGTGTGAAATTATTACACCATGCACAATTATTGTAAGAAAGGGAGAAAATGCCTAGTACTGGATTGGAGTGAGTAAGTAAGTATGGATGCAACGCATATCAACTATCACCAAGGATAAAGCCTCGATATTCACCGGCCTGCAGACTTTCACAAAGTCTTGACATTGTGAATATGCGGAGGTCTTGAGCACTGTCCGGCCAGTTTACAAAAAGGTTTGTAAATTTCATGTGTGCATCACATACGGCCATGACATTAATGGAGAAGAAATTCTTTCTACACCTGTAGAGTTCAGGATTTGGCTCTCCAGGGCTCCTGATTAGAATGTGAGTCCCATCTATACAGCCTATCACACCTGGCATTCCAGCAATCGAGGCAAATTCCTGCATGAACTCTTCTTCTCGTCCAGGAAAGGGGAATTTAATATAATCTGGTGCAAGAGTGGCAATAGCAGCAGATACATTCCGGACATATTTGCTAACATTTGGTTGAGACATGTCTGAACAGTCTCCTAGAGTTAGTTGAAAATTTCCTGTAGCCATGTATCTCATGGCAACCAGTAGCTGTAAACCTGGAGGAATTGGAATGCCTGAAAGGAAAGAAAGAAAAGAAAAGATAAGATACTATTTCTCGTAAAGTCTTAAGGATTTCGCACTCACAGGGCAAAAATTTATGCTGTACAGTACTGTTTTTTAGATTGAACATAATCCCCATCTCACTAAAAACCTACTTCATATTTCATGATCATGACATTTATCAAGCTGTTCCTTAAGCAAATGATTATCATTTCTATACTGTATTGAAATCATAATTAATGGATTGCCTCTATGGCTCAGTGACATTGGAAGATAACGTCTGATTTTTGTAAGCAGCTCCCTGGTGCTGTCCTTAGATAATCTGTAGCGCTGAATAAATTCCTCTTCATTATAAAACTGAAAAGGATCTCGTCTTACATGAAATCGTCGCTTCCTCTATCATCAAGCTGACTTAGCATCCTTATTTCTTTGATATTATCAATGTGCTGTCTGTAGGTCTGCATGCTGTTAAATCATAACATTATTATGTTATTTGTTTTTTCTTAATTGAAATTTTGTCATAAAATTTGGTTCTATGACCAATTGTCCCCCGACAAATGCCCCCTGGACAACTGCCACCTGGAAAAATGCCCCACATTACCAGTGAATAACTGGCACAAGACATGGATCTAACCAAACGTTTAACTTAAAAACAAACAACCTTACCAAACCTAACTTTAACCTAACCTAACCTAGCCTAACCTCACTTTAACTTAACATAATCAAATTTTAACTTAACCTAACTTAACCTAACTTAATCTAACCTAACTTAACATAACCTAACATAACCTAACAAAATATTAAATATGACTGATACACAATTTTTTTTCAATTAACCAATGTTTTTATAGAAATCTGTGATTATTGTTGATTGAATACCATTATACAGATGGCAAAGTTAAACGGATCTCTCATGCCAGTGCAGTGGGGGCCCCTACCTTGTATTGTACACATTTCAAGCTACTTAGAAACTTCTACAGAGCAAAACTGCGTCAAGTAGACAAATGTGCATCCCATCTGCTGTTTTGGTGACAAACAAGTTTGGTTGTCACTCCCTTACTGTCTACTGTGCTGTGTGCTTTCCTGATTTTGTTTAGAATATAGCTAAAAAATGTAGTCATACCAAGATGAATGAAAATATCGTTTGTAAAACTTAGAAGCAAATAGTTTTTTTTAAACCAAAGAGAGCAGTGTATCTGATGTTGCTTGTATCATTAAAACTGTGATGGAGCCTAGTATTGCAGAATTTTAGAGCCAGTTATTTGTATTGATAGTAATCAGTACTTATTCTTTATATAATTATTGACAGTTGTAAAGGCCTGGGAATTAGGGATAGAAATTCCTTACCAGACTAATCAGGTTCTTCATAAAGGAAAGTCAAGGACCACGGTTTTCTGAGGAATAGCAAACAACCGTTTGAGATTGACATCTCTTTGCTATAAAAAATATAACAAAACTCTGACACCACTCAACAAGCATCAAATAATTACGGGAGTCAAACAATTATTGCAGTCAACAGTTAATGGAGTCAAACAATTAATGGGAGTCAGCAATTAATAGAATCAAACAATTAATGGGAGTCAACAATTGATAGAATCGAACAATAAAGGGGAGTCAGCAATTAATGGAATCAAACAACCATAGAATCAAACAATGAACAGATATTTCCTACGGCAGTGGCCCTGGGGGAAGGTTCTGGAACACGGTGATCCACACTCAGGGTAGGGAAGCGTCCATTCAACTCCACACTCGAGCGACAGCGGCCGATTGTCTTGAAATGGCAGAACACCGGGGCACAGAAGGCATGAGATGAACTGACGGTCGTGGTATGTGGTAGTGGTAGATGATCAGAGACTTGACAGTCGATAGGTGATTGATTGATTGATTGATACATTTATTGAGATACAAAAAACATTAATACATCTCAAAGGGATGAAGTGACATAAGTCATCCCCACCCCAGTCCAGGAATGTCCCTCTCAGGACTCACATAAATCCCTAATATTTCATATAATCAGTTATAGTACATAGTTATATTCTAGATGCTAAATTTCTATATTTCTTTAATATTTCATCTATTTTCCTATTTTTAAACATCCACTCTATTTGCATGGGGACATTATTTATATGGGCATTTCTATATACATTAAGCAATGGGCATTACAGTATATAATGTGGCAGGGTATGGGATCTGGATGTTCTACAAACTCTACATTCTTTATTCTGCTCACTTCTCTCAACTCCAAGTTCCCAATAATATTTATATCCTAATCTTAACCTCATATACACTGAATCTTTCCACCTACTCCTATCTTTCCCATATGTAAATTTTGTGTTCATGAGAACATGATGGTAATGTTTCATTGTTTCACTTTTCTCGTATATTTCATTCCTTTAGAAATTATCCTCTATTGATTGTATTTTCCGTAATTTGCTCCTTAATTGTTTCAAGGTTTTAGTACATATTATGTCGATCTCGGCCTTTTCCGTGGCTCTTTTTGCTATTATATCTACTGCTTCATTAAGACCAATGCCTACATGTGAAGGGACCCATACAAATTGAACATTATGGCCATTTTTCCTTATTGTATTTACTAATTTTCTACATGAACCAATAATGTGTTCAAAGACTGGACTCCCACTGTTCAAAGAATCCAAAGCTGCCCTACTATCAACAACAAAATATGCATCTTTATACATATTTACAACATTTTCCAATCCTACTAACATTGCATATAACTCAGCTTGTGTTGATGATATAAAACTGCTCAACCGAAGTCCAATTTTGATGTCATCATTTCCTTGCTCTGTGTGCTGTCTTATAAGGATCCCACACCCTGCCCTGCCACTTGACATAACTGAACCGTCACAATATACATGCAATGTGTTTATTTTAGGCAAATTACTAAACTTATTCTCATATAAAGCCCTTAACTGTCCTGGTTCATGTAATGATTTCTTCATTGTGAGAGGCACTATGTCTAACTCTACTTCTCGTTCTTCCCAGGGTGGATTCTTACAACTCTTCTGAACAGCTGTACACCAGTCTGCCAGATTACATTTTTTAATAATATTTACTAATCCATTCATGTATCCTCTCTTGCCTTGCCTGCAGAAGGTCCTTTTATCTTTTAAACCATCATTTATATCTTGTACAAATTTACACCCACTGTTCCCTCCCATTAATCGAACTGCTGCAACTGTATTAATTTCATTGACCCTCTGTGAAATGCTCTGTAACCCTAGTTCCATTTTCATTATCTCAATCATTGCATTCTTTTGACACCCTAAAATTATTCTCATTGCTTCATTTTGCATGATCTCAAGCTTCCGTAGCCTTCCTTCACCAGTACAAGAGAGGACAGGTGCTGCATAGTCTATAAGTGATCTGTTGGTAGAAATATACATCATTCTCAGTATGGGTACCCCAGCACCTTTACCACAACATGCTAGAGCCTTCAAGGGCTGTAATCTTGCTCTACATTGAGTGAGGACATGATATATTTCTGCCTCTTTACTTTCACAAGTAAAGCCAATATACATTCCTAAATATTTATACTTTGACACTTTCTCAACAATTTTTCCATTTAGAAAAACGGATTCAGTTCCTCTTCCTTTACATTCACACTTGGTTTTTTCTTCATTGATAACTAAGCCCATCTTTTGAGAAAGAACACAAAAATTATTTAATGCAATCTGCAAGTTTTTTTACAGAGTTTCCTTGAACTAAGATGTCATCTGCATAAATGATGGTTACATCTCCTTTGGGATATTTGTGTGAGGCTATCTTGTTCATTAACACATTAAATAACATTGGACTCAATACTCCCCCTTGGGGAGTGCCTAGTTCAAGTGCTCTTTCCTCAGACAAACATCCCTGATACCATACACAGATTCTCCTTCCATGCAAGTAGTCACCTATCCAGTGTAACAACTTTCCTGATACCCCTAGAGCAGCCAGCTCATTCATAACTACTTCACTGTGAGCTTTATCAAATGCTCCTTGTAAATCCACAAAACCTCTACCTCTGTCTGCATCATTTGATAAACATTTTATAACACAGTCTGAAGTACATTTCCCTTACAAAAAACCAAATAAATTACAAGATAGATTTTTCCCCACAATATATACAAGCCTATTTAATAATACTCTCTCCATCATCTTGGAAAAACAAGATGTTAAAGACACTGGCCTGTATCCACCAGTTGCCTTAGGGACAGGAATAACTATCGCTTTCTTCCATTCTGTTGGTAATCTACCCTCTGTATAGCTCATGTTGAATAAATCTAATAATGGACTATTTTCCATAACAACTAAGCAGTTCAAAATTTCACAAGTCACACCATCTTCGCCTGGTGCTGTAGATCTTCCTTTTTTAACAGCATTTAATAACTCATCTTGAGTAATATCTACACATGTTACATCACAAATATTTAGAGCTGATGAAATAAATCATCTTTCATTTTGCCACTCATCTAATGCTTCTATTGTCCTGTTAGGCAGGGAGGCAACACTAGCTGCTTTAGCCCACTTGTCAACCAGTGTATTAGCTTTTTCCTCTGGATGAGGATGACAAATAAAATTACTCCTTTTTCCTCTAATTTTGTTAATATCCTGCCATATTTCTTTGAGTTTTTACTCTCCCCAATGTGCTGTGCAAAGTCTTGCCAATATTTCTCCCTTGCCTCCTTCCTAGCCTGCCCACATATTTTGGCTATATCCATGAAGATTTCTCTATCTTCTTCTCTTCTACCATTCTTTACCCAATCTTTATGTGCTGCCCTTAACATTTGTGTCCATCCCTTCAACATTTTGTCATTGGTATAGCAGTGTTTCCTAGCCCCATGTGTCTTATCATTTATCTTTTTCTGTGTTGACTTAGTTAAATATCTTTCTATCTCCCCAACTAAGTCATTATAAAAGCTATCCATACAGACTGGTGTATAATTTCTGTACCATTTCTCTATATTTTGGGTAAACACTTCTGTGTCATCCTTGTTTAGTTTCAATCTCT